GCTTGATGGAAATGAATGCTGAAAGATAGGGATTAAAGAATAGACTCGTACTACCCCCAGTATTATCCTTTCATTGATGTCTTCATGTCACTCTTACAACTGGTATATTTTTAGTGAGGGACTATTATTTCTGACTAGCTCAAGGTGGATTTCTGTGTGTTAGTTTTTTAAAAAGTTGATTTAATTGCTGTTGTGCAAGTCAGACTGAAAACCAATTTAAGATGGTAGCCTAAGTTTAGTGAAGTTTGCCAGGGTAACCTGCATTGTATTTTCAGTCAGAAGGAATGGAAGTGTTAACACCTTTACAGCAAAGTGGGTTTGAAGCATAATTGTGCAGGGTATGATAGGACAGCAATTGCTGTCCCACCTGCGTTTCTATTTTATCTTTTCTGTACTTCTGTTAAAAAAAAGTATAAATCATGTGCATGCGGTCTTCACCAAGGCTTAAAATGAGTTATGTCTGAACTTTTGTGAATCGTAAATAGGTAAGTTGTATGCAATGTACATGTTTGTAAAACTAAAAGATGAAACCATAAAGCTACAAACCTGCTATTTCAGAGTAGATCAGGGAGTGGCTTTTCTAATGTTATTGCCAGTGCTATTTATGATATTTTTTGCTTATTTAAGGCTTATATTGTACCAAGTCAGTGGCTTTCTACTTTTTCAAGCTGGAAGCACTAAAGTCTCTGCAGAGTAGAAACAGTGTTTGGGTAAATAATCTGGGATACAACTTTACAATGCTCTGTTAAGCTGTTCCAAGTCCATGCTGCCGACAAGAATTGTGCTCCTGAAAATGCGTTCCTGTTTTCTCCCTTGTACTAGTGTTTGTGTAGTCAGTCAGATCTGGGTATTAAATCAGCTGAAATTTTTTTTAGGATTCCATTTCCAGCTGCATTGGTTTGCAGGCTTGACTTGATTGTGTAGCCACAAGTCTGAATGTCAGTATTGGAGATGAAGAAGTACCAGGTGCCTTTTGCAAGTAATGGGACTCGCAGCAATGCAAACTTAAACTGGCTTATGTCACAGTTCAAAAAGGGGGGGGAAAAAAAAAGAAGAAAAAAAATCCCCAGTCAAATTCTCTTTTACAGTTTATACTTTATAATGGGATTAAACTCTGGAAACTTTTTTTAACTGAAGATACTATAAATTATTAAATGCTACCAATACTTCAAATACTGAACAGTAGGCTGTAATAATTGCCATGTTTTTCCAAGTCACTTCTATTTTGTTTGCAGTCATTGAAATTTTGCTCACTGAAGTATATGTAATTCAGACATGGAAGGGTTGGAAAGAAGACTAGTTAAAAGTAGTGAGTCTCATCCTGTGAATTAGTTAATACTGATAGTAATTACTTGGTATGTGTCTGATCAGAAACTGTTTAATATGGTAGTCAGGCTTCTTTTTTTTTTATCAGAGTAACTTGAATGGTACAAATGCTCAATTTATAGATCTACTTACAAGGTACTTTACACGTTTTCAAAAAATGCATTTTGTTACTAAGTTGTGGAAAACGGTTTAAGGAAGCAGTTTGAGAAGGTTAGAAACAATCTGATAGCTTGATGCCACTGAAAGGATAGGTCATTATCTGTGTTCCTCATTCACCAGCTGGCATTTGATCTGACCTCTTGGTGGGCTGATTCAGTACCCTCAGCTGTCAGAAAATTGTTTGCTTTTTGCTGATGGATTAGTTTCCTGCCAGCTTGGTGCACTGAATGAGGCCGCAGTGTCAACACGAGGGGCAGAGGTGGTGGGAGGAAGCTGGGTTTCCATGCTTGTGGTCTGTTAGCTTGATTTTTCAAGACACATTCTTGTCTTGTCTTTGGTGGAGTTTGGAAACTGTTGTGGAAAGGGGTTATTCTGCTTTCCCTGTGAGTGGATTGCCAGCCACCCCCAGCGGTGATCTGATCTGGTAATCATGTGCTTCAGGGGTAAGAGAGGCAAAAGCTGTTTTTTTTCTGTTGGATCATTTGCTAAATTCAGTAGTAGAGAGGTTGAGGAATGTGAAGTGAGTGCAATTACACCTTGAATAAATCTGACTGTAGATTTGATAGTGTAATGTGAGGCTGCATCTTTCTTTAGGAAAACAAGTGGAAATATGTAAGTTTATAGGGATTTAAGATTTTAAAAATACTAATAATTTTGACTGCATCTTATATTATTAAGTAGCTGAAATCTGTAACTTGTATTCCCACGAGGAAAAAACAGATCTCAGAAGTGCAAAGAACACGTGGTTCTCACGTACCTTACAGCCACTTCTGTCCTTGGAAACCTTTTCTATCTACTGCCCCCAGAATAAGCCTGTTGTTGTGACATTCCCTGCTTATAGAGTAGATGGCTGTAATGCATCTTTATGAATGTGCTTAGATATACTATCATATAGAGATGTTAAACATATCAATGTGTGTTACACATTGTTTTTAATATGCTTAAAGTATGGAAAGAATAATTTGGAAACCACAAGCCTGGACTTCAGGGCTTCCACCTGAATTCCAGTAATGCCTGACCAAAGGGGAAGAACTGTTAGTAAAGATGAAGGGATCTGGTGGTTTTTAAAATATACACGTCACAATTCAAGGTTAGAAAAAAAATGGTTATTTAATAGCGAACACCATTCTTGATCTGCTTACTAGCAGGTTTTGAATATAGATAGGATAAAGAAGGTTGTTTCTTCATCTCTCTTCTTCCACCTGTCGTAACAGGAGCCTACTTTGGCATTTTTAAAAAGCTTAAAATTCACAAAGCGAAAGAGCAAAAGGTAGAAAAAGAAAATGTATTAAGAACAACAAAACTGGATGGAAGAAACTCTCCAATTTAAGTGAGCTGTGGGAGTGGCTTGTGTGAACCCTCACAGTGTCAGTATAATGAGGTGTAAACTAAGTTTGGAGTGTTGCAGGCTCCTGGTGTTTGGAATTTTGGGTAGGAAGGATTTCCTGGGGGTTGGGATGGGGAGGGTAACAACTTTGAAATTTTAGGGGTTATCACCAGTCTTAGTAATATCTGGAGCAGGTGAGGTGCAAAGAATTAATTCCTTTGAGGCTGGAAGTAATAAAGAAGTGGCATAATCCTGTAAAATGTGGTAGATAGAAGATGATCTGGAAACAAAATGTGGATGTTTAAAAACTGGAAAATGTTGTAAAGTCCAAAGGAGCTAGATGAAAATAAGTCAGCTGCTTAATTTTCTGATTTAGATATACAGTTGTCTTAAAGGTTTTTTTTCTTCCGAAGTTTCTTCTCAGATCCTAGCTGTCCAGTTTCCACATCAATCTTAACATAATATTGCAAAGATGGTACAAAAAAATGTATCGAATAGATGAAGATTTCAGTCATTTGCTTATGCTAATACTGTTTCTCTATTGACTTCTTCAAAGCTTATTGATTTCTACAAACTCTAAAAAGGGGTATGGGGTATGTTTATGGGCAAGATCCTCCCTGCTGCTTCCCTCCCATCATGCATTTCTTGTGTCCTTTTCACTGTTAGACCACCTGTATTTGGATGTGGCTCCTTCTGTCCAGCCTGAATCTGTCAAGAGTGTTGTTTTGTGAATGGAAGTATTTTTCCTCAAATGAAGAACAGCCTTAGTTTTGTGTTTTATCCCTTCTTCCATCTTGCTTTGTCTAACTCTTAAAGAGTTGAAAACTTCTTACGGCTAAATTAATACATTAACTCAGAAGTCATCTCTGTGGATTGTTTTGAAGGTAGTAATGGATTTAGGTTAAACTTGTTATTTGTAACTTAAATTAGTTCTCAATATTTGCACTGCCCTTTGCAGGGTTAGTATATGAGGTGGCTATAGTTCAGAACACCTCCTTAAACACTTTGACAGAGAAGAATATAGCCTTGATCAACTTTGCTTTATTTCTGTTGCTGCTGGTATTAATTGGAAATCTGCTTTATCCTGCAAGTTGTGTCCTGTCCCCTCAGTGTTGTATGGTAGGCAACTGTAAATAGCTAAACTTTGTTTTAAGTTGTACGGAAGTGGCTTAAGCACTAATAAATACGGGTTTAGCAAATGAATTTCTGAATGCTTGGTACGGAATGCCCATTAAGTTGAATGTTCAAGTTTAAGAGATGTTACAATGATAAAACAAGTGATTTTTGAGAAAAATCTGGTATTCTGGTATTGTTAGTGAGCATTCTTGATCAGAATGGATAGAAAATTTAGAGTTGTTTGTTTTTAGGAAAAACAGAATTCTGCTGAATTTTAAAATTTGTTGTGAAATAAATACCTCTAGTGTGTTGAAACTAAGTGTTTAAGCCATGTGACTGAAGTTAAGCATTATACTTATTTAAAAAAAAAAAAAAGGAAAATGCTAGTTAGGTGATATCATTACCAAAGAAGAATACAAGTAAATAATAGAATAGGTGGAGTATTATTCCAGAACAGTGTTTGAGTGTTTTGCACAGAATTGCATTTTCAGTTGGTGGAAAATTATTATTTACTTGGAAGCATGAAGCCTCCATATGTAATCACACTTGTGCAGGCAGAGTAGGCATGAGTGTGCTCATAAACCTTCAAACTAGGCCTTCTAAACTGCAAGAATGTCCCAAAGTAACATAATTCTAAGTCATTGAAGGACCAACTGTGTTGTGCTTTCTGCATTCAAAAAACACATCAGTTAGTTGTCTCTGGCCGCAGTAGGGACCTTACTTAAATCACTTCTTGTTGATTTTGTCTAAGTATGTGGCTGACAGTGCAAAGTATTTTGAGTTTCCTAATGCTAGAATTCATTAATAGATATTCAGTTGACTCACTGTGCATTTGGTGTTAAATATAGGCATAAATAGCGAATTCAGTTGCTTAGTACTAAGTTAAACTGAATTGACTGAATCTGTTTATAAAATAATAGGGCATTTGGTAGATTCAATTCTTGAACTGCATATATAGTAAGTCCACAAAACATTTTTTTTTTCTAGTTTCAGTTTTGGCACTAGAATTTATCCTGGAGTTTTTAAATATTCTTCATCCTGTTCTTTTTCTATTAAGGTTAATGTTGAAGAAGGAAAATGCGGAAGTCGCCATTTGACAAGTTTTATAAATGAGAATTATTTGAAGCTCAGGAATAAGTGAAGCTGAAATTTGAAAAAAAAGAAAGTGAATGCATGCTAATTATCAGACCAGAAGTCCCACTTGTAGAATATTGAGCAATTTGTGTGAAGTGGGGAAGATGAAAGAAGTCAGAATTTGAAACGGAAGAATGAAGAAAAGGAATAAAAATGAAGTTAAGATAAGAAGTAATCTGGAATCTGAAAGCACTACGCTAAGTAATTACTAGTCTGTTTATGTGTCCCTGTATATTTTGCTAAACATGCATGCATTATCTGTTTAATAGCAAAAGTATATGCAGGGTAAAGAAGTGTCTACCAGGGAAAAAAAAAAAAAAAAACTTCTTAAAAATCGAGGCAGTTCTAATGCCAACTGCCTGGACACATAGATATGAATTTTTACCATTTATTTCACTGGAGCTTGTTTACAGACCTTAGGTAAATGAGAAATTGTGTACAAATTAGGCTTTCGATATCTGCGTGCAGGAATCCCGTTCTGCTTCCAGAAGCGGAAGTGCTCATGGGTCTGGCAAGTCGGGGAGACACACCCCTGCAAGATCTCGATCTAAGGAGGATTCCAGGCGTTCCAGGTCAAAATCTAGATCCAGGTCTGAATCCAGGTGAGTTTATTTCTTTTACCTCTTCCTCTTCTTCACAAGTCAGATCATTATGTCAGAGGTGAACTGAAGTCCAAGGTAGCCAAATTCTGTTTCCAGAAGTAACTGATGATCTGTGGACATTGAATATAAAGGGGCATTTATGGTTTCAGGATTTGAAAAGATAAACTATCAAGTTGGATCTTTTTTGAGCTTTTTCTAAGAGGTAGTCAGCTATGTAGCCTTTTATCTCTGCTGATACAGTTTGGAGGTAGCCTGCCTTTTAAGTCTTAGAATAATGGCTAGTTTCTGAGCATGAAGCATTTGGAACTCTAGATGTTAGCTTTTCTGTGCATTAAAAGAAATACATGCATCAGCAGATTTTCCATTTTAGGTCATGTTAATCTATTACGTTTTCTCACTGGGAGCAATTCCATGAGGCAGTAGAGATAAATGTGAATTTCAACAGCCATCTCTCTGACCTTTTAAATATATATTAACTTGAAAAATAACAGGCTGGAAAGCTTTAAAGATCAGACAGCTTTCCAGGCTCTCAAAAAGAGTTGTGGAGAAAGTAGCTTGCTTATTGTATTTGTTACGTGGCAACACAAATGTGCACTGTGAAAATGCCTTTTGCACTGTATTACCTATCCTTATACTCTTCTGCTAAACAAACTGTGTGCAGTGACAGAATTCTTCTTAAAACTGTTAACAGACATAACTGAGACATGAAATATGCTGATAGTCTAATAATAAAGACTAAATGTCACTGCTAGCCACTTTACATTGGCTTTACCAGTTGTGTCATGTAAGAGGTACATATTTAATAAAGAATGAATAGAAATGCAACAAAACATGTAAATAGGTGAATGATGATATTTTCTTAAGAGGTTTAGATAATTGAGTGCTGACTACAGAAATTAATGTGTTGATAGTTCCTTTACTCATTTGTAAGCATTCAGGTTAAAAACCATCGGTTTCAGTGTGGGGTTTCCAGTTAAGCTGTTCACAATATACTTTTTATGTGTATAAGCAATTAATTAGTCTTGCCAAAGCTTGGGGGTCAGGCTAAAGGAAGGATGACAACTCTGGAAGACATTGTGCTATTAGCAGTCACTTGTGATTGAAAACACTATCAGATACTGTGTTTAGGTCTCCTTGCAAGATCAAAGTGATCAGTTTGAAAGGCGCTTGTTGGGAAGGAAAATACTTGGGAAACTTTGACAGCAGAGGAATGGGCTTGTTTTTTCTGTGTACTTCAGGCAGTCAGAAGTGCCAAATCATGCACTTGGCAATCCCTGTAGTGCAAGAACAAATATGTCAAATTAAATGAATAAATACTTGGTAGAGTAATAACTGCTTTGTAGAGTATGAAATTGGAATGACCTCTGGAATTGCTAGTAGTGAGAGATTCATAGGACAACTCAGAAAGGGTCCAGTCCAAAATCCTGCTCAAGGCAGAGTCAGCTCTGGGCTCAGACCATGTTCTCAGGGCTTTATCCAGTTGGGTTTTAAAAACCTCAGAGGATGGAGACTGCACACCACTTTTGGGGAACGTTTTAATTTTAAAATAACAAGCAAGTCAGGACCCAGCCCAGCATGTCCTTCTGCACCTTAATCCATAACCCCTAGGGATTCTGTACTCTTTAAAGCACTGTGTTTCTCACTTACAGTGTCTAATAGCATCTAAGAATGCAATCACAAATTGTATAAAATGCTGGAAGAAGCAAATACAAGATCTAGAATTTACGAGAGACATGGCACATAAATAATTTACTTTTACAAGAAATCACCCTTTAAATTATACCCTGGCAACTGACTTTTTACTTTTTGATGAACAAAAGTAGAAGCTTGACTACCGTGGCTTCCTGAGCATTTAACAGCTGTCTTGAAAATGCCTGTGGCTGGAAATACTGGAATTATATTGCAGAGTTAGTGTGTGTTCATTAGCAGATTTGGGCAGAATTGTGTCAGAACATATTTAGAACCAGCATAGTTATATCTCTTTTCAGTGCTGTCACATGTTTGGATGTGTTCATGAGCAGGTCATCTAACTCTGGCTCTCACCAGAGAAATAACCCTGTGAGAACTCTTATATTTCTTGGTAGTTTCTATTGCAAATGTATTTTTGAGTTACCAGCTTTATAAATTAAACTTTGATTTGGGAACAAATATGTGTCTTGGTGTATTTATCAGTTGGGGTGTGGATATACTTGATTTAAAAATCTGCTTTTATTGAAGTTTTCAGCAGCAGCATAGCAAGCTTGTTGTCTTTGGCTGACTGTGAAGTCTAAACAATTCTTACAGAGGAGTAGGGTTATCAGCTGTGATGGCTTTGCAGCAAAGGAGAATAATGGCAGTATGACATTTAAGGCAGGCAATATAAGCAGTGCCTATTTAAGCCTTGTTCTCTCGCATAATGAATTGCCTGGTTTACAAGTCTCCAGCTCTTGTTCAATGTAATGGGTGCATTCTGTTACCTGGAACATCAGTTCTGTGTTTGCCGCCTTTTTTTTTTTTTTTTTGGTACGTCAGCGGTTGAAATGTGGCTGTATGCATGTGTTGAACTTCTTTTTTTATTATTATTATTTCTGTCTTTTTTTACTGTCTTTCCTGCCTTAGGGAAGTTCTCGCTCTTTTTTTTTTTTTTTACTTTGTAGCCTAAAATAATTTATTCTTTCTAAATACACAGTTAGAAGTATTGTAATGGGACATGCTGAAGTCATTTCTCCTGGACATGTATACATGCTTCAAGCTGAGGAAGGTTGAGGAGGTTGAAGATTTTGTTTTAAGGAGGCCTGTAATTTGCAGAGTGTATATCGTGCAGTTTGGCTGTCTGGTAACACTTAGCTAGTGAGAAATCCTGACTCTGGAAGAAGCTGTTAAATGCTCAGGAGTAAAAACAGGTTCAGGTTAAGAGCTTCATTCATGCCACTGTAGTGGTGGTGGTACTGTGAAACACAGTTGTGCAATGATGGTAGCTTATGGTCTCAGTCAGTACTTAACTACCTTGGCTTCCACAAACTAGAGGAAGGACATTTAAGACACAAACAAGAGCCTGAAGATTAACAAGTTATGACTAAGAGCTTTTAAATATTAAACTGTTTATTACACTTAGCCTTGCAGCGATTTTCTTTGTAGCTGTGTGGAATGCAGATTATTCAGTGACTGCCATCAGCAGGCCAAGCTCTGTATGCCAGTTTAAGTGCCTGCCCAGCTTTTCAACTAAGATTGTGTCAGGAGGGCTGAGGGTTTAGTAGAAGGAATTGAAGTGTTTCAGGGCCTCATCTCCATGGACCTAGTGCTGGCAGAAAACATTTCTGGAACTGTTGTGAGGAGGTCTGGGCTGAAATTAGTGAGCAGTTGCACCTTTGCCTAAATACACTTGAAGTGTGAACATGTAAACATTCATCAACAGCTAATGTTAAGTAACTGTTGAAATACTAGAAGGTAAATAAACCTAATACTGCATAATTTCTTCAGTCATGTTAAGCTCTGTTTCATGGGCATTTGCCAGACTTCTGTGCTTGTAATTATGCACTGTGTAAAAATTGTGTTTGCTTTTCAGTGTCACTGAAAGCAGTGTTATGCAGAGTGCTAGAATAAGCAGAGGTGTGCGCCTCTGCAATTGTGCGTGCTTTTGTGTGAAGTTGTATTGACTGTTTACTCCTGTTCCCTTTTTCTGTTAAGTCTTCAAAAGAAAGCCACCCCAGCTATTTTTACTTAAATACTACGGTAAAAGCTGTGAATATTCTAAGCCTATACTGTGTCAAACCAAGATAGCCTTGTTAGAGAAAGTTAAAAGCTATTGGGGAACTAAAAACTAACTAAAATGGAAGATAAGATTCCTGTTCTGCAGTAGAAATGCTCTGAGAGCATCTACAGTAATCTGATTGTAAAGATTTAGTGCACGATCCTTGAGAGTAGTGACTATATTCATTATAGCTGAATCATGTGGTACTGCAGGTTTTTAGAAAATGGTTATTTGGGCTTTTTGTTTGTGAATATCTGATGTATTTTTGAAGGGTTAAAAAAAACTCAAACCAACCCAACACTACCTTTTCCCCTTTTTTCCTCAGATCTAGATCAAGGAGGAGTTCCCGTAGACACTACACAAGATCACGCTCTCGTTCCCGCTCTCATAGGAGATCCAGAAGTAGGTCTTACAGTCGGGATTATCGGCGACGACACAGTCACAGCCATTCACCCATGTCTACTCGCAGACGTCATATTGGAAACAGGGTATGTCTGTTACAGAAGTGGATGACTTGTATGTAGTCCTGAATACACCCTGAAATCACACAATTTATTGGGGTTTTCCAGAAGAACATTCTGCTTCCTGCTCAGATCTGTTTAAAAGATATTGTTGATGTTAATTGTCACTTGGCTTTTGATAAGCTGTGGATTTCCATAAGTTTGTGTAGGATTGTGGGGCAGGGGTGTCTTGTTTGATTGGTTTTTAACAGATGCCTTTAGAAGTGCTACTAGTGCAGGCTGTTGTCACTATACCTGCTGTAATAAATGAGCTAATGTATGCAGCAAAGGATGGGGGTAGAATTAGGAGGGAGAAACATTTGTGCTTTTCTTGATGAGAAATTGTGGAAAACTAAAACATTTCATTAAAAGCTGTTTTGATGGTGTCTTTTAAATGAGCATGTAAACCAGCTTGCATTTAGCTGCTTTATAGGCTCAGGTGGCTGAGCACAGTGTGGTTCATGCTAAAGTAGGGGGGGAAAGTGTTAGCTAATACAAATGAAGATACGATCCAGGCCTCTGTGTGTATATGTATCTCTCCACATTCAACAGTCATCCGCTCACATTTGGAGGGAAAACTTTTTAAATACAGTACCTGTTATGTGTTGTAACTGTAGTTTGTACAGCACCCTGAGAAACGCAAAGTATTTTTGTGAAAGGAGGCTTGTGTATCTGTAGGTTTGATTGTAATAGTGTCTATTAGGAAGTTAACCCAACCTGAATCTCGGTAGTATCTTTTTCTTGTTGCTTTGGCTTGAAACTCTGACACTCACAACTTGTGAAATACCTTGTACTGCAAATACAAGCAATTTTATTCTAATACCTATCTATCTGTCCCTTCCTTTAGGCAAATCCTGACCCAAATTGTTGTCTTGGTGTATTCGGATTGAGTCTGTACACCACAGAAAGGGATCTGAGAGAAGTTTTCTCCAAGTATGGTCCAATTGCTGATGTTTCCATTGTGTATGATCAGCAGTCTCGGCGTTCAAGAGGATTTGCATTTGTGTACTTTGAAAACGTTGAGGATGCTAAGGAAGTAGGTTGGGGTGCAGGATGTATGGCACGTTTGCTGTGTTCTCAGTTGCTGGGATGTGTACTCTGTAACAGGATATAGCCTGGGGAAACTCACTGTTTGACCTTTAAAATGGTATAGGAAACTTTAACATTAATTCCTTTTGTCTGTGTGAAATAATCATAATGCAAGCTAGTCCACAGTATCTTTCCTGCCTTCTCAGGGCCTAAGAAATACTGGGCACCTCATAATAAATGTCAGAGTCTTAGTTCAAAGGATACCTACTGTGTACCAGAGGAGAAAGTGGAGAGTCATGGTCCCTGTGCAGGCTGAGCTGTTGTGCAGTTCACAAAAGCAAACTTTGGGCTAGCCATAGCACAAACTAACCCAACAAGAAAAGAAAATAGAAACACAGGCTCTCTGTTTCAATTATGAGATGAGAGTTCCTTCCTAACTCCACTTGGGATCTTCTATTTAATAACAGGCATGTTCAGAGTGGACCAGCCAGCCATTTCAGAGTTCTCTGTAGGAGTGCTAACATGCATTCTTCTGACTTCTAACACTTCAGTCTGAGAGGGGGGGAATCTTTTCTGAAAATAAAAGGCCAGGCAAATGTGTAGTGGCTTCTTGGTCCCTACAGATGTCCATGGGAAACCCTAAGGGATTCAGTGAATTGAAGCAGTGTCAATACCATATAACAAATTACAGGATTTATGCTTAAAAGTGCTACAGAATGAACAGGGAATTTTATACTTGCCAGCTATAGAATTCTACACTCAGGCCAGCCCTTGGTGAGCACTGTGCTTATGGGCTGTAACTAGGCTTATATTCTGCATAAATTCTACAACTTAAAGTCTCTAGTGTCTTCTTTTCCAAATTCAGCATGAAGGCTTCCATGTTATGTTGGAGTTTTGGATGTAGGTCCTGCTACTTGGCAGAAAAAACCAATAGTTTTGTTGGTTGCTTTTTTTTTTACTTCAGAATTCCTTATGACATAGGTATTACTATATTCAAGGTTTTGGTAGGTTTTGAGGATGTATTGGAGGAAAAAACCAATGTAACACAGAAGTGTTAACTTCTAAATGCTTTGCTTCGTGTTGCATGTTGGAGTAGTTACATCTCCCTACATAAGCATGTTCAAAGGTTCCTCTTAATCATATTAGGAACAGGGGTACTGAAACAATTGTTCAATTATGTTCCTTTTAGACTTTTTATGCAATACAAGTCACATTTTAAGTGGTTATTGAAGCTTATATCCAGCTGGCCTAGAAAGTCTTGGAGCTTAGGTTTGATGTCATGTATAAGGCATAAATGAAACTTGGACGTGCATCCTAACTGAGCCATTTTAGGACTTTTCTTAATACTTGAAGCAGTGGTTAGAAACTTTGGTAATAAATTTCATATTTGCAGCTAATTGTATTTTATCACCTTGCTCAGGCAAAGGAACGTGCCAATGGAATGGAGCTGGATGGAAGAAGGATTCGGGTAGACTTCTCCATAACAAAAAGACCTCACACACCTACCCCTGGAATCTATATGGGAAGACCCACTTAGTAAGTTACCTGTGTGTGTTTTTTTCCAAACCAGTATGGGATAGGATTAATTGTCTTGTTTTGTTAAAAACTGTTGTATATCCCCTCTAAGAGACCTGATTCTGTGTGGTTTTCCTAGTTTATCAGGCTTTTGCATTAATGTGCTGTTCTGAAAGCTGTTCCCTTGCTTCTGGCTTGTGCACTGTACAGTATGTGGATGTTTCAGTACTAGAAACTAAAATACAAAAATGACTGTTGATGCCTAATTATGTGGGTTGTTTTGTTTTTTTTTTTAAAATGTCTCCTTAACAAGAGCTGTGCTAACACTGATGTTACCTGGCAAAGCTTCTGAAAACTAAAAAAATCAACTGATAAAGGAGGCTCTTCAGAATTTTTAAAAAAGATGGACTACATGTGGACAGCCATCAGTAGTAATGTGTATCTTTCCAGCTTTTTAGATAGGAGTTAATTTATATAGCACTTGTCAGTGACTGATCTAAGGTCAGCCTGGATTACAGTGAGCAGAAACATGTGCTCCTTAATTATACAGCCCAGACATGAGCTATCTAAATGTTTAAATAAGTCTACAGTAAGATTTTTTGACAATTTCTAAATTATTTTGAGTTGTCCTATGTACCTTCAAATATTAATGTCTTTTGCAAGCTCAAATTTTCAAGGGTGAATTAGCAAATACTAGTTAAACAGCTGTGTGGTGCAGTTTGCCCTATCCACAGAGTACACTTTTGACTTAAAGTTGCCAAGAATGCAAATTGTTTTCCCAAGTAACTTCCCAATTGTTTTCCCAAGACTTTCAGCGTATGGTACTGGTGGTTATGTAGTTGATGTTGAGACTGCAGGTTTTTTTTAATGGGAAAGTTCTTCCAAAAGCAGCTGAGAGTTAAAAGTGAATGAAGAGTTGTCACAGAATGGAATTTCTCACATGTGTGTGATGTCAAAAGGTTAAGAGGTTTCAGACCAAGGAGGAAAGTAGCTATCTTAAAGTTCGAGCATTCTAAAAAGCAATTATTTAAGTAGTTCTGTTCCTGTCTGCACTGATGGCAAAGTAGGAGTACTCAGAATCATTTCAACTGTGAAGATGCAGGGTAATAATATAACCCAGTTAAAACGGTGTATACTTGACTGACTGTACACCGACTGAAAAGCACTGCAAACAATATTAATGTTTAGTATTTTATTAAATGTAATTTTCTTTCACTAATTGTAGTGGCAGCTCACGACGACGAGATTACTATGACAGAGGGTATGATAGAGGGTATGATGATCGTGACTATTACAGCAGATCATACAGGTGAGTCAATGTTTGTAATATTCGACTGCTTTTTAAACTGTGCTTTCTCATCTACATTTCCGCCTATATAAGTTAAGCAGTTCATCCTACATATGCATGCCAAAAGTTTTTTTGAACTTGCTGTCATCCTGATATCTTACTATGAAGTATTTACCAAAATGGCTGCTCAGTACAAATCAGATTGGTCAGATTGAGGAATCATTTGCGATGTTTAACCTGTGGCATGAGTTAGTCCATAATGGTTTGAATCTGCATTAAGTTTTGAAAAACAAGGTAAATATGTTCTCTGTACTCTCATTTTAAAAGAATCTTCTGTTGGTTTATCTGTTAGCATGGAAATAGTGGGAACACAGGTGCAGATCTAATACTTGAGTTGGTATTATAGTGCCAACTTAGATTTTGAACATAATGTAGTAGACAAAAGGTGCCAAGTTTCAGTGGTCACCAGTAATCCCCTACTAATAATTCCGGCATCTCAAATGGTGCCAAAAATAAGGAATCGGGGATTGGAACATTACCTGTTCTGTATTGGACATTTGCATAAAAAAGCTTTTTTAGCATACTCTGTCAGGTTGGATGTGTGTGTTTTACTTGAAGGACTTACGCCTCCTATTTCTGTCTGTCTTCAGTCTAAACTTCTGTTTTTGACAGCATAGTAGTTAGCTGAAGGAAGTGAATATTCAGGTGGCAATATACACTGTCAGAGGGGTAGTAAAGCTGATCAAAATCTGTTGAAAATATGGTTGGTATGTAATTGGCTTTGGTGATGGAACAAGTTTGTCTTCTGGATTTTTCATTAAGACTGCCAATAAGACTTGTCCCCTGTGAAATCCTCACAATTTCTGGGGCACTATTAAGTTGAACACAGAGATAGGTGTTCTTTTTTTTTTTGTCTGCAATTACCAAACGTTCCTGTAGCTGCAGAATTCTATAGTAGTACTTTCTAAGTGGTTTGCAAAGCTTAAATGCATCAGCAATGGGTGGATTTATGATTGTTCTCTGATGGCAACTGTGTATTCATGGAAATACGTGAATTCAAATTGCATTATTACATTATAGCTCAAAGACAAAGGAAATAATGAATTCTGTGATCTTAGCTTTCAGTGTACTCTTCTGTTGCTTTCTAGGTGTAGAAAAAAATACCATCTTTATACTTACATTGATAGCTGTATGGTCATTGTCAGTGACTGAGGGCAGCTATCTCCTCCTTCCCCTCCTACTGCTTTCAACCAATCTTTCTCCTTCCTGGGCTGTTGGTGTTGCTTCCAATCTCTGCCCTCCTTGCCTTGCAGTTATCACTTAAATCAGGTGCCTTGCTTCTACAGTGCTTAAATGCTGCTGTGGACGGGGAGGGGATCAAGGTGCTCTACATCATCACAGTGAACACAGGAGACACAAGTGTTTTCACATTTCTGGGAAGCAGTCATTAGGGCACTTCTGTGCCTCTAACAATCCATTCTCTTGAAACATCAGTGGTTTGAACATTTTGGAGAACTGGAGCAGCTAAAATCTGAAGTTGATACTGAGCATACAAGAACCAAGACATGTTGGTTTTCATCTTGCTGGCACTTCTGTGTAGGCTTTCATGGGAGGTAGATGTGACCCAAAAGTGGCTGTTGACCAAACTTCCAGTATGTTTCAGAGCACAAGGTACAAAAACTTGCCTGGGATAGTTAACATAGCCTCATCTCATTTAATGAGCTAAAAATAATGAACCGAAATCTAGTGGGTAAATTAACTGAAGCATCTTGCCAAAGCATTGGGGAACAGAAAAGACTTGCAACTTAACCTGCTAAGCAGTCTAAGTGGTGCTTCTAGCTTGCTTCTCCCACTTTCCATTTTTTTCTATGGGGTTCTGATGTAAGCTTATCAAAATGGCAAAGGCATATAAGGACCAGCAAAAGGTGTGGGGCTGTGCAGTGTTTGGTAAGAGTTTTACACTATCAGTCTTTCTTCTTGCACTTCTTCATAGTACAGATTTCCTTTTTATTCATAAAGGGTCAGTCAGGGTTTACTGGTTGTCCTTGAAATCTGTTGTTTGTTGCTTGTGTGTTCTTAAAATTTAATTTATTCCTTGTTTAGATTATGGTATGACCCTAAGTGCTTGAAGTGTTACCTTTTTCATTCCTGATAGTGAACAGTGGCTCAGATGTTTGTAAAATGTTATCAGAAGTTGTAATTACATCAGTTCTGGGTGCATGCCAGTGAGAATAGTTGCAGACTGTGATAGTGACTGAACATAAAAAAGAATACATGCATTAGATGAAGAAGAGCAGACTAGTGAGAAGTGATGTGAGAAGATAGACTACATAGTGTACTAGTTTGAGTGTAGTGTATCAGAATTCATGGCCATGTTTCGATCCAGCTCTTTGAGGCAGTCAAGTGCTGGGCAATGTTCTGACCTTCCTACACGTTCTCCCATCCTGTGTCTTGTGAACTAGGGCTTTTGGGTGGAAATACTCAGAATATTGACAATTCCAGCAAGGGTGATTTCCATTTCCTATCTTGGGGGGGGTGGGGGAAGTCAACAAAAACCCCACACCCCAATATTTTAAAGCTCACTGTAGAACCTTTATATAGTGTATTTTCATAGCAGATACTGAAAGGGTGAAAGTAAGCCACAAATGATATGTGTGTGTCTACTTTAAAAATATCATGGTCTACCCACGTTAGATAACTGCTTTCTCATCCTGCAGATATTGGTCATTTGAGGGAGAGAGAGTAGTGTTGTGTATGTCATGAGTGCTTCCTTGAGGAAGGGAAAGTTAGAACTGTAAAGATGCAGTAGAGCATTGCATACTAGTACTCCACCCTAGAATATCAACTGGGAACAATTTGCATTTTTCCCTTCCTTGCCCTCTGTGCAGTAAAGCCTTCAGGGAAATAAAATTTCAGATGGGAATTGTCATGTTAAAATCTAGTTTCTTCTCATTGCTGTAGGATGCTGCATCTTGTCTAGAAAAGTATCTGTAAACTGAAGAATAACCTTAAGAAAAAAACCCCACTTGCACACTGGCTAGCTACCAAATGGGGAAGACTTTAAAAAAAAAAAAGACCTGCTCATTGAAAGTGTCATGTTGTGTTTTGGGGGTTCTTTGTCCTTCATATGATTTATGGCCTTTTTGAGCTCTTGAGACATCTGCGGCAGTGACTGTTCCATGACCCAAAGTTGATTTAGTCTCCTCCTGATAATGCTTTGTTGTATCTAAATTTGTGGAGGTACCAGCCCAACCACTTAATATTGTTAAATACTATAATATATTGTTTCATTTCTAGACAGTGTTTATATAAGGAGAAATTGTGCCACAGTTCTTAAATGCCCTTGTTTAAACATGATTGTGAAGTGTTAAAATGTAAGGATGTGGGGTTTTTTCTCTGCCTCCATCCTGGAATCAATTTTTTGCTCAGGACAGTGACTTGATCTTGCTACTTAAAAAAAAAAAAACAACCCAAAACCAAAGAAAACCACTTGCCTCGAGTGGGTAGGCATCTGAGAATAGAAATGGTCTTAGAAGCAAAGGCTATGCACTGATCTTAAATTGCTGCTCATTGGAGAGTATGACATTGTAAAATGCAACATTGGTAAGTCCTCTTCAACTGTTCCTTGACACCAAGTTTAGCCAACGCATTTTAGGAATACATGAAAATTAACATAGTGAAGTTATTTAGTATTATGCAGTGTAGGAACCAATGTTTTCTTGTCTTCACATGACTTTCTTATGCTTGATGGTGCTTTTTGCTTGTACAATGAACTTCTTATTTTTAAAATTTTCAAAAGTTGTTCTCCTTTTGGATTCACAGAGGAGGTGGTGGCGGAGGAGGAGGAGGATGGAGAGCTGTTCAAGACAGGGATCAGTTTTACAGGTATGACAGGAAAGCTTTCAGTGCCTGGTCAACAGTGGAAATATTCTTCTACATGGTATTTTTTTAGTATTCTATGAATCAAGACTAGGATATCTTTAAACACATTAACAGAAACTGGGTGGATGCAGAGTACATGCAGCTCTTCAGTGAGGGGGTGGAGTTGGTTGTAGCAGTGACTGCTGCTCAAATCAACTTGTCATCTTGAAAGAAATAATTCATATTGAAAGTTCAGGTGTGATTTGGCTTACACTGTTTGTTTGGGATGCTCTTGGCTTGAAACACTAAAATTGCATGTAGCCAAACTGTGAATGAGACAGTGCTTATATTTCTTCCATTAGTCTAAAGCAGTGTTACTCTGACCTGGTAATAATAAGAGTATTAAGAAAACTCACATCTTTGCTTTGTTATCCAGTAGAAATGTTAATCAGCTCCTTATGTGCTCATTAGCTTTCCCAAGTACACTCTTGATACCAGGATCGGGTTAGAAGTATCCACATAAAGCTGCTGCCACTCATCTGCCACAGGCTTTAACGAAAGGATTGTTTCTGTTGCCCCTTTTCACAGGAGGAGATCACCATCCCCATATTACAGCCGAGGGGGCTACAGATCTCGATCCAGATCTCGATCCTATTCACCTCGTAAGTAGTCTTAGAGCTCGCGTATCAAAAGCAAATTTCCACTTGGCCTGAACTACTTCTTTTGAAGTTTTGCATCCATAAAGACTTTTTTTTGAATGACAGTTCCTTTTAGTGTTTCATTGAGCAACTGGCAACCTTGAGGACAGAGCAAATACTTAGTTTGCAAGAAAAAATACCAACCTAGGTAATACCACTTGTTAAAAAGTCAAGAGGTACCATTTCTTTCTCTGAAACTCTTAAAACAGGAGTTCGTAGTATGCTGACAGTTTGGTTACCTCTCTAACAGCAAGGCCAAATTCACAAGCCTCGCATGTTCTAACACTGAAACTAAATTTCCCAACATAAGTTAAAGAGGAGGTTAACTTCATCCAAGGTCCAAATAGTGCTTTTTTTCTGAATTGCTTATTTGCATGGAAGATAAAGCTGCATTTTGATGGCAGAAATTTAATAAAACACAATAGCATTCCTAGCATACCCCCTTTGTAAGGGATACAGAGTGAATGAATAGGTTGTGTTCTCATGTTTACCCTTTGTGTCCAAATGAAAACAAGTGTAACTGCTTTTACTGATACGTAGGGAAACTTGCCACCACGGAACAATTACAATGTGAATTCTCATTGCGCACTGAAACATCAGCCCTGAGCATATGACGGGAATTGGAGGTTTTCTACACAAAGGAACTTACTGGCAGAACTGTACTGACTGCTGGACTTTGTCATAGACAAATCATAAGGCTCTCGAATTCGATGCAAATTTGAGGGGTGGCACTGAATTTAGATAGAAAACTTAAAAATCTGTCAATCCTTGGAAGTCTAATAGTGTGCATATTTTGTTTTTTCTTTCAGGTCGCTATTAAAGCATGACATGTAGAGGAATTTCTAGCTACAGCCTTTGAGTTGAAATTGCAAGTTTGTGGACAATATTTTTATTGTCTCTTCTGTTTAAACAAGTGAACAGTGCCTAGTGAATAGGTGACTTTTACACCTTTTATGAAGACTACTTCTGTGATGTTACATGCTGTTTCATTCTGCATATTTGTGTAGTTTGGTTCTTTGTTTCGAGTTGTGTTTTGAAAGGAGTATGTTTTGCATGTATTTTTTTAGTCTCAATTTTGACTCCTGAAAGGTTTCTATTGTAAAGAAAAACTGTTCAGTTAGTTTTTTCTACTGATTCCAAGGTATTCTGAAGATCAAAGCCTGTGTAAAATGCTTTCAAAAAGTGAAAAATAAAAAGTTTGTTTTTTCTTTTCCTACTTACTTTTGCCAAGTATAAGTTGAGTTGAAAAGAGACTACAATACTTATGCTGTGTATTCTGGAATAATGTTGAAAGCCCAGAAGTAAAATTCACCCTAATTCTGTGTTGCTGGGTAGTTGTTCTCTAAATGTAATACCTTCAGGTATGTAAACCCAGTGCATAGAGAAGTCAGTGTGCAAATTGTACAGCAGCAGGAACAAGAAATGTCATTCAGCAGCGCTGTACCCATGGGGCAAGACTTGTAATAAACTCTAGGTAATGCTGTTGAGCTTTGAGGTGGGTGAGCTGTTAGCAGATTATCACCTATAACATGTAGACCTTTAAATAAGGAGAGAGCTTCAGTGGAAGTAGACAACCATACACTTAGAGAAGGCAATGAAATAACACTTAGACTGCCCTGATTTTTCTTATTTCTTCACTGATGATTGTCCTTCTTCTAAAGAGTACATCTTTATCCACATGTGGCTAAAATCAATATAACTCTCAAATTGTGCTTTTCTACCAGTATAGTAGCATTTTGCCCACTCAGTGAACTTCATGCACTTACAGCAAAATTCTGTGCAAGGTTTGAAAGTACTTTTGTCAGACTTCCCTCACTTTGTATTATAGCTCCAGTGGTGACCAAGCCTGGAGGACTAGAAAACAGGGCAAGAGCAGTGAGATGCTAGGCTACATCTGCCACTGTTCCCTTGGCTTTTGAACACAAGTTGCTTTACTTTTTTTCCCTGCATAGCAATTTCCACACTTTTTTCGTGGACTAAGAGCAGTTACAAGACCTTGTGGACCTGCAGCCTCTTGACCTTTATTTGATGATTTTCCTCTGTTCCTGCATAAGAATGGAACAGACAGCTCCTCTCCATGTATGTGTGTGCCACTTCTAATCAGTGGCCTCCGTTGTCTCGTCTTACTGTGGTTTTCAGATCTAGTTAGATGTTTGTATGGAAATGTTCAATAACTTGGTCTGTTCTTTTGATGGTGGGTGAAAGGAAGGACCAGGATGGCAGACAGTGTTCCACAGGGTGAGGAACCCATGGGTTTATATAGTAACAGAATGTTGATTTCTTTCTGAGCACCATCTCACACCCTGGTTTGGTTCTGTTACTACTGAGCTGAAGGTTTTCTTACAGCAACTTCCAAGGGCTTGTGCTGGAGGATGAGTGGTCAGGAGCCTGCCTCTGTGGTCTTGCTCTCCTTAGAGAATTTAAAACATGGCTGTATGAGCTGCTCTGCTGGCACTCAGCTATAAAGAGAAGTGCCACCAAAGCCATCACAAGTTGGGATTTAAGCAGTAAGCCTCTTTTACCCCCAAATTTTTATTCAGCAGAACTGTTGTTAATAGTCTTGTCAGCCTAACAAAAAAACAGAGGTAATGCCAGGGCAAGTGCTTGCTTACTCTGAGCTACATCCCATGTCTTTTAGGAACAGGCAGTCATTTGCTGTCCCATGAAAGATAAATGCACTTAAGGTTGTTCATTAAGTGCTCCTAAAGTCTATTTCTCACTTTTAAAATTGGCACTGAATCGCTCATTTTGGTTTTCAGCTATTAAGTTATCTATTGGATTTAAAAGATCTTGAGCAAACACTACATAGTGTATCTGTCATCCTGTGTAGTAAATCTATGCAGTTAGATCTATGATCTAATTATTTTTTAATCTTGCGTTGCAGGAAATGTGAGCTTTCCACATTGGTTTACGGTGAGAATTTTTTTTGTGTAGAAATAGTGATATACTCATTTCTGGACTCAAAAAATTGTTCTCTATAGATGTAGGGAAGAAAATGCTTTCCCCTTCTGCTCGCAGAAGCAGTTTGGCAAAAACATGCAATTGCATGAAGCAAGATATAAGAAATAAGCCCTACCTGCTGCAGCTGCCTGGAGAGGAGGAAGGCTAACAGCAGTACACCAGGTGTCCTAGGAAGGTTTTTGCAAATACCTGGGTATTTTTTTTTTTAATAAATCCATACCAGTTTTTACTGTCTGGATACAAGACTGGAACAGGATTTCAGCAGTAATTATTTTTAACTGTATCAGCAGTAGCATCCCATCCCTATCCAAGTTGGTCCTCCCTTTTAAACATCCCGTGGGGTGCATAGCACTGCTCCTGTGCTCAGAGCATCCCAAATCCCTGTGACAGGTCCCTGCCCTGTGTGTTTCGGGGCTGTGGTTTGCCTTACAGATGCGTGTAGGAGTGTTCCCTGGGAAGGTAAAGTCCCACCTGCTGGAGCTGCCCTTTCTCCTTTGCAGAGCGGGCAGTCTCTTTATTCTTTTGACCACGTTTTCTTAGTCACGGTCTTACACTTCCTTGGAATCACTCAGCAGGGGTTTACAAACACAGAGTTGAGAACATGTGTCCTTTGGTAAGCATCTATGTTTTAGTAAAATGAGTATTTTGCAACTCATGGTGCAGTTCCTGGCAGCTGAGTTCATCTGGTGGCTTGTAGCTACCAGAATAGCATCCTCCCACCCCTTCCCCACGCAGTGATACCTGCTGCTTCTGGTAAGGCTTGGCTGTTCTGTGGAGCCAGTTGTGCTCTGGTCCGGATGAAAGCAAGCTTTTCCCCTGCAGAGGTCGTGAAAGGAAACTGGGATCTTGTGTTGGTTGGAGGCAGTGGGCTGAGGTGCACCCTAAAATCCATTTTAAAGCTGTATCTAGAGTCTGGGGAAGTGTCGGCTCCTGTAGCCTTGCAGTGGGGAGAGCCTTTTGTCTGGGTGCTTCCTGCTGCTGAATCATTCAAACTGCTTGTCAGTCCAGAAAGAGCCCCTGGTCAGAAGTTCCCCAGCGTGTGTAATGTTGCCCTGTTACGTGGGAATGACAGATTGCTGTGGTATGTGATGTGCTTCTAAACCGCGGCTGAATCACTGCTGGATGTCCTGATGCTCTGCCAGCGTGTAATGCAGAAACTCATCGCAGAGGAGGGGGGAAAGTGTACCCTGAACTTCAGCAGAAATCCCACCAGTGGCAGGGAAGCATCCTCTGCCGCAGCGGCTGCAAAAGCAACATCTGCTGGAGTGGATGTGAAATGCTGTGCCCTTTGCTGACCTGCTTTCCTGTTGAGTAGGACAAATAAAGGACTTTAAAAGCATGTGGGGAAAAAGGAAACCAGGCGATGTTTGTCCTGTTGCACCACTGGTCTCTCCTCACTGTGTGCAGGTGGAGTTTCCTCTGGGTCAGTTTGTGCCTTTCCTGGCATGAGAGATGCCCCAGTGCCTGCACAACCCTGCAGCACCTCCCCGGTCCCCTGGGCACAAGGAGGGTCCCTGTGGGGGTGGCATAGCTTGAGGGAGCTGCTAAGCATCGGCACCAAGGGTTGATATCGTCAGGGGTTGTCGTGGTTTTAGTGTATTCAGAAAAACATTGTTAAAATCAATTTGTAAGGTGGCTTACAAGCACAAATTAACTTGAAACTGGGTCTTAAGAGCATCTGGGTCCAGCACAGCACTGAGCATGGAGAATGGAGACCAAAGGGAGAGCACAGGGCTGTGACTCTCCTGACACCCCTTGCACAAGCAGGGCAGCAGCTTTCAGCTCTCTGCTGACCCTCATGAATTCCCGAAAATGGTATTTTCTGTAATAACTCTGTAATTTGAGTTCAAGTAAGTTGGGTTTTTTTTGTTCACATTTCAGTTCCAGCAAATCAATCGCATGAAAGGCAGGTACTCCTGCCACACACAGAGCTGTTTTCAGAACCAAGAGAAGCTGACCCTTTCTTTTTGCTGCTTCAATATGATGGGTATGGCTCCTAGACACCCAAGAG